ATGTCAGAGTCCTGAGCGCACACTGATGGTACATAGAGCATTAGGTGTGACCGTGGGAGTTCAGGAACAGTGGCCCCACTGCTCAGAAATATTCTTCCACTGGAAAGCCACAATTTTCTTTAAATGTCTAGTAAAATATAAAGAAATACCTTAGGGCTCCTCATCTGCCGTTAGTACTCTAATATATGTTGAACATATGATTATTTGAGATCATAGAAATCAAATTGGAAATGCATTAGGATATTGACAAGAGACTATATTGAGCCTTTTGTTTTTTGTTTTGTTTTGAGATAGCCATTGGTACTAAATGAAAAGAGACGTCCAAAAAAGGCTTAAGAGTGTGTCAAATGACAATCTTAGTATAGAAAAATAGAAATTGCAAACCAGAAACACATATTTGTCTTATAGAGAGGTTAAGCATCTTTCGTCCTAAAATCTAAACTCTAAAATTCTCTAAAATCTGAAACTTTTTGAGCACCAGTATAATACACCAAGTTGAAACTCTACATTTGAATTTAGAAAAGAATTGAAAATATGTTATTTTCAGACTATGTGTATAAGGTATGTATAAAACTCAAATTTTGTTTAAACTTGGATTCTGTCTCCAATATATCTCAATATGTATTGCAATTATGCACCCCCCAAAAAATCCCAAACCCGATCTCTTCTGGTCTTATACCTTTTTAACAATATACCTACATAGAAAAGGACTGATATAAAAAGTATGAAAAGAATTGCTAGAAGTTGATTAAAATGAGCAAAAATAATAATAATGCAGAGAAAAGGCATGGGCCATAATTTTGAAGAAGACTCATATGAACAGGAAACATTTGAGATCATATCAAGGAAATACAAAATGAGCTACCTCTGATAGCCATTTGACTGGCAGAATTAAGAAAGGCAACACTGGGAAGTGTTAGGGACCACATAGACACCCAATGAATAAGAAACTGGTAAGTTCCATTGGAAAATAATTAGACATCTTACAAAGTTAAATAATTGTAAATCCTACAACATTGTATTTCACTTATGGATGTGTCCTCAAGAAAAAAATCCCAAATGTATATTCCAATATGGAAGCACAAAAGTGTTTGCAGTACCGTTCTCAGGAATAAGAACCTGGAAATACTCCAGGACGTAAATTCTAGTGTGCTCCACAGTAAGATATTGTGAGACACTCAAAACCAATGAAGCTTAGCTATATGCAACAGTGTGGCCCACTCTTACTAATATAATGATTGAGATTAGAAGCTGCACGATTTTCTTTTCTAAGAAAAGAAGTTTAAAATAACTGTGCAATATAATGTTACGAACGTGTGTACATAGAGGCTATGTTTTAAAGCTGATGATGGGTATGAGATGTGAAAAAAAAAAAAAACCTGACTAGCTCTTCTGGGGGAAGAAAGCAGTGAGCCATGAAAGCTGCAGAACAGAAGAGCAGGCAAGCTACTGGCTGGTTCCCGCAGCTTGTGACGTCATAAACACCCATACAGAAGAAAGCATAGCCCACCTACCGACTGTGATGAGAGGGTATCGTGGAAGGAAACTTAAGCCCTGAAAATGCCAAAAATACTGTGGGGTAGCAGCATTCAGGTCCCTTTGGTGTGTGCGTGCATTTGTGTGTATGTGTGTGTGTGTGTGTGTGTGTGTGTGTGTGTGTGTGTGTGTGTGGTATGTATGTGTGTGCGTGTGTGTGTGTGTGTGTGTGTGTGTGTGTGTGTGTGTATGTGTGTTTCATCTAAATACATGATATGAGTTGTTCTCAGATGGTCAATTAAAAGTCATATTATTGTTAAAATGAGGATTAAGACATTTCAAGGCATCTTGTGCCAAAAATCATAATTATCAAAAAGACTGAGTGGGCTGGGAGATAAAAAGTTGCAAAAACACTTACTGTGCAAGCATGAGGGGACCTGAGTATGTGTCTCTAGCACCACCTAAAAGCCAAGCATAGAGGTATGAGTCTGTAATCCCTACACTGGGAAGGCAGAAACAGGAGGATCCCAAGGACTTTCTGACCTGTTAGTCTAGCCAATCAGTGTGCCCTGGGTTCCAAGATCCAATCTCAATAAATAAGGTTAAGATACAAGATGTTGACTTTCAGCTTCCATATATGCATGCATGCAAATACACACATATACACCACACACATACTCTATGATATGTGTGTGTATACATTGTATATATGTCCAGAGGACCTAGAAAAAAAAGAGAAGGCACTGTGGACTCAGCTTATGATCTCACTTGCAGGGTGGAGTTTCCTCTTGGAAGAAAAGCCATAGAGGGTGAGTAGAGGCTTGAACAAGACAGAAAATATGTGCATGGTCTTCTTCAATCCCCATTGTGTTCCAGATGTACCTGGTGAAAATATTCCTCATGTGTAGTTAACGTATTACCTAAGTCAAGAACAACTGACCCGTAGGGAAATAATCATATCTGAAAGCAGAACGCCTGGCCCCATGTTTTCCATCAGCTAGAATAACTGATGTCAGCAGTTGCATCCTGATGGACCTCCTTTTTCTCATCTCTTAAAACAGGCTATGTGAGGCGGAAGGAGGAAGGGCTGAGACCCTCACAGACAAGCTGGTTGACCTCTTCTCCTGTTTAGATTCTAGGCAGGATAGGGTAATCTTGCAAAGGGACTTTATTTGTGTCATCCAAGGATCAGAACACTGAACCGGACAACAGTTCCTAGCTGGTTGATTATCTGTGGCCTACAGACATGGCCAATTGAAAAGTTCATGTAGGTTAGGGCTTAAAAAGCAGGATGATGAGATACTTCCAGTTAAGATAGCTTTGTGAATCCTCACTTTAATAACCTTCTCTGCTACCAATAGTTAAAATGTTCTCTCTCTCTCTCTCTCTCTCTCTCTCTCTCTCTCTCTCTCTCTCTCTCATGCTCGCTCACTCGCTTGCTTGCTCTATAAGTAAAATGCTTCTTTTGCAAGCAAAAAGATCTGAGTTTGATCCCACAGAGCCCACATTCTTAAAAAGCCAGGCATGTTGGTATCTACTTAGAATCCTAGCAGTTGGGAGGCAGAGGTAGGTGGATCCCTGCAGCTCTCTAGCCAGTCTGACTTACTTGACAAGATCTAAGCCAGTGAAAGACCCTATCTAATAAACCAGTGTGGATGGTGCCTGAGGATGAGGTGCTGTGTGCCTGTAATCCCAGTGCTGGGCGGCAAGATGGGAAGATACCTGGTGCTAGCTGGCCAGCCAGTCTTGCCAAATCAAATCAGTTAGCTCTAGATTCAGAGACAGACACCTTTCTTAGTGGAGATGGATGGAGGAAGACTCCTGACACCTACCTCTGGCCTCCACATGAGCACACATATATACATGCCTGCACACACATGCACTCATACATAGCACATCCATGTACAGGCAACACATGCAAATTGAAAAATGTCTTTGAAAGAAACATAATCCAACCACCACGCTTAGAGGTGAGGCCTTCAGGGAATGATTAAGATTAAAAAAAAAAGCCGTCACACAAGTAAGAGAGAATGAGAGGTGAACAGAGGGTGTGTGTGCATGTGTGTGCGTGCGTGTGTGCGTGTGTGTGATGCCAGCGGCCATCTTGACACTTGATCAGCCAAGAAGTCCATCATCAGACATTGTCCCCCACTTTGAAGTAGCATCGTGAGCCTAAGTCAACCTCTTTCCCTGCAAGTTGCTCGCCTCTGGTGTGTTATTGGCAACAGAAAGTGGATTAATACAACTCCTTCCCAATTCCTCAGCCATGTAATGATGGAGCACACAGGATTGTGGGCCCGTGTGTATACTTGACTCATTAATGTGTATATCTCTGCATGAGAATTAAAGATAGAGCCTCAAATAGAGTCATTTTCTATTGTTTAACTCATAAGATGCAACCAGGATTTCAATAATTAAACATAAAATGACATATCTTCCTATAATTCATGTCCACAAATTCTCACCAACACTCTTTCATCCAATAGAGAGACTTGACTCTCATTAGCAACTCTATCAGTTATTTAGACAGGCCCGTGTGGCAAACCACAATACTGCGTGATTTAAAACACAAATCCCATGTATTACAAGTCCCGGCCCATACTAGTTGACAATCTGGGCTTTCCCAGGTCTCACACATATATGCCATGTAGCACTTAGATGAGGTGGAAGCTCAGGTCTAAGATAGCCTCTTTCACATAGCTGACAGCTGCTGGCCTTCAGCTCTGCTGACAAAGGTAGCTGGGCCAGGCTAGGATATACCTGCTTCAGGTACAATGACAGTGTGGTTGGTCTGAATTCCTAAAAACCACAGAAAAGGGCCTGGGGAGATGCCTTAGCTATTAAAACCACCTGCTGTCTTCCAGAGGACCGAAGTTTGGGTCCTAGCACCCTTGTCAGACAGCTCACAACCAGCTGTAACTCTAGCTCCAAGAGATCTGATATCCTCTTCTGGACTCTGCTACCTGTGCTTACACATGTACATACCCACATACAGACACATTTATATAAATAATTTTTCAAAAGAAAATACTTTTATAGAATTGAAGACAACCTCAATCTGCAATTTCTTACTAGGTCTCTGAGTCTCATTTGGTAATACACCATGGACCAAAGAAAAGCCCATGGCCAGCCAAGTTCATGATTTGGGTAGTGCTGGTACCCAGGTATACATATGGGGAAAAGTCATTTCAGCCATTACTTCAAACACTTTTCTGTGCCAGCCTTGAATAGCATTGTTCTTATTTTATGACATGGGAATATTTTCCTATAAGCACACAAGGCGCACACACATCAGCACATGCACAGAAAGAGGCATTGAATAGTCTCACACAAAAATACATGTACATGCATGCCACAGTCACTTATTCACTCAAACATTAGCAGAAAGCCACAGGGAAAGAATTACATGGAGATATGCATAGAATCAGCCATGTATATAGGCACCAAGTCCACTCATGAGGCAAGGATTTGCTGCGCACACTCTATTTCATTTTAACTCTCCAAAGTTCTTTGATAAAACGCACCATCGCATGTTTCAGAAAAGGAATCCAATGCTCCCAGCCATCCTTTGATATGAAGGGTTAAGTGACTAGAGATGACCCAGACTGCCAGCTGCAGGCTGGTCTCTGTGGTCTGATTTCTCGAGACGATACAGCTCACTTCCCAGCAGTGATTGCAAGATTTAAATCTAAGTCAGGAGAGAGAAAAATGCAATTCTTAGTATGGTGTTAGTTAGAGCACAGCTAGAGACAGCATAAGCAATGAAGAGACAGATCCCTCAGAACTGTTTCACCATTTGACTAGACTGAAAACATGGAGAAGCATTTCTATGGAGCTTCAGATATCAGCCCTTCATAGGTGCCCTGGTCTCCTTCCCTAGGGATCTAAACTAGGTGTCAGTTCTGGAAGAGATGGGCTTTTTAAAATGAAGCTCTCTTCACTTTCTACAGAGGCTCTCGCATCTCTATGCCTATATCATCAACAATTTATGATTAATAAGTATTTACATTCATCAATGTTTTAAGTAACAATATTGTTGAAAAGCAAATGCTAAAAGTAACATAATGTCTATTTCCATTTCTCGTGAGTTCCTGGTGGCTTAGGGGAGAGAAGAAGATCACAGTGTTTTCCCTCCTGCAAGGGCAAATATTCTAGGGAATTTATAGCTGAAAAGACAACCGAAATATCAAATACGGGTTATTATAAGTTTACCCTATCTTCCTGTAAAGTTTCGGCCCAGATAGGTCTACGTGACTTTAGAGCTGGTGTATAAGCCACCTGTTGGAGTTAACACTTTTCCTTGTTTAATACTTAATACTTCCCTGACATCACCCAAAAGTATAGCTCACCTGTTCTGCTCCCCGAGTACATTAGTTGCTGATTCACAGGCACATTGGAAATACAGTAGGAAACTGGGAAAGCTCAAACCAGGTGGGACATGACTCCTTTGGTTTGCACAACTTGACTGTGACTGGCAAAGACGGTAGCTTGAGGTGCACATGACACCACTAGGTAGTCATTGTAAGAGCCCTGAGGGAGCTAGGGAGCAGCTCACCAGCTCAGGACTGCAAACTCAAGTCCATGAAGGTGCATGCAAGATTTCAGGGAAGACTGGAGACTGTGTGGTGCCCTCCGCTCAGCCCAGGACACCTGGGCCAACCTTCCAGTGGAGGTCACTTTTTAAATCTTTCCAGCTAATTCAAATTAAAAATCTGCAAACCAGAGCTCTCATCAATCAATCAAATGGGGGTGGGGGGAGGAAAGTTTCCAAAGCATGTATTCTCATTTTAAGAATGCCAGGTAAGGGCTGGTAGGACGGTCAGCAGAAAATGTGCTTGTTGTGAAAGCATCAGGACCTGAGTTCAGATCCCTAGCACCCAAGTAAATGCCAAGTGGGTATGTTATCTCCCTATAATCCTAGAGCTTCAGGGGGTAGAGACAAGGGATCCACTGGATCAGCCAAGGCAGCGAACATTGGTTTCAAGTGAGAAACGCTGCCCCAATACTTAAGGCTATAAGAAGGAAATTAACTGAAGAAGATGCCCACACCAACCTCTGTTCTATGCACCCATGCACACACACACATGACTATGCACATGGGAACACATGCAAGCATGTGTACACACACACACACACACACACACACACACACACGGAACCCAGAGTCAACTTCCACCTTTTTTAGATGTTTGATCTAACATCGGAGGAGCTTGATTCCAAACATGGTTTCCTGAGCAGGGTCCCTGTCTACTCCTTCCAGCGCTAGGTCCTGAGGCCTACAGACACTTTTTGCTTCTCAGCTGGAGAAAGCAACCCCATTGGAACACAGTAAAGTATTTAAGAACACAGCGGCTTCCCAAATTAAGCTTTGTCCTGGTTTAAACTTCTAAATCCCTCAGGACAGCCGGGTCTAAATTCTGCCTTATTTATGACTGATTTTCACAGTGACAGGCTCTGAAGCTGCAAATCTGACTGATGTGTCCCAGCACTTCAGCTCCCTCTTCAGTGGGGACCAATGCCCATGGTGTGACTCCATACCATTCACACATTCAGACACTTGCATTCAATATTTAGTTTATTTTTCTCATTCAGACACTTGCATTCAATGTTTAGTTTATTTTTCTATATATTTTGCTTTGAAAAGAGGTGTTCAATGTCAGGGATTTCCTGACTCCATCAGCTCAAGGTGTCACTGTAGCCACATCTCCTTCCCTTGGCTCTGACTGACCGGAAGTTGTCTGGTAGCTGCACAGAGAGAGTCCAGGAAGTTGATTCCCAGCACTGTACTGCCCTGGCAGGGCTGCTGCTCCCAAGGGCCACATGCCTGGCCTGGGTGCCCCATAGCACTGCCCATTGTCCTAGCTCTATTAGTGCATGCTACCTCTCCTTCCTGGGAGAAATCCCTAAGGGCAAAGGTTAGGTCCTGGGTTGGCTTCCAGGAAAGGCGATGAATTGGTCTCAAATGTAAATGTAGGTACTTGTACTGATACTTTCTACATCAGCTTGCAAGGTGTCAGGATTTGAGGGGAAGAAAACTAATAACTAGACTAGAAGACATGTCTTGGGAAAATACAAGTGACCACACACGGTCTGGGCTGACAAGGGCTTAGGGAAGGCAGGATTCCCAACCTGACCACTAATGCCTGAAGAAGCATTAACAGTAGTAGTGGTATTGATCGACTGCTTGGGGGCTCCGGGGTGCTCAGGGTGCTATACTAAGCACTCAGCAGGTGTGATCTTATTTAACCTAGACAATAAAATCAGGAGTAGGCTATGTTCCCCCCAGCTCCACAGGTATGGACTTTGGGGCTCGAGGCAGACAAGAAACCAGCTCTTGGCTTGTGTCCCGCAGGTGAAAGAGTCAGGTAAAACCCAGGTCCTCTACTCTTCAGCCTTTCTTCTCGCCACCTGCGAGACCGCAGGCCCATCGGGTGGGAACGCACACATTCGCGTGCAATCGCACTGCATAACTCAAATCATGTTGGGCCTGTAGGAAGACATCAAATAGTAACTTACAAATAAAAAAGGATCTTAACAAATTCATCCACACACTCCAGCCTCAAGTCAGTCCTGCCTCTGAGTGAGTTTCTTCTGGGGGGAGGTGTAGGCACCAGACCCCCGAGAGGGGCTGATATTATGGAATACAGTGTGACAGAAGAGGACAAGGAGAAGAGGATGTTCCCAGGCAAAAATAAATAAATAAATAACGTCATGAAGGGAGTCCCCAGAACTGCACATTCTGCCTTTGAAAAGCCCCTCTGCCATTCACAGCTACTCCTGTGGTTCATGACTCTGCTACTCACAGGTCAATCATCGACAGTAGCCTCACAAGGCTTGCTGTGCTCCCAGCCCTTACCACCCCACACAGCCTCTCACCAGCATTAGATCGTGCCATGTCTTTGCTCCAATACATTCAGGGATTTCCGTCGCCTTCTGATTAAAGTCTAAAATCCTCAGCTCAATTCAAGGACTTTCACACTCAGCCACCATCCAGCCAACCAGATCTGTCCTCAGATACTGGCTCAGACACCCAGGCTTGTGCTGAACTCCCAGAATATGACTCACCACATCCCAAAAGAGCTTGGCCCTCCCGCTTCCCGTGTCGCACTCTTTCCGTCTGCCTGGAACACAAGTCTCTTCTTAGGTTGCCAGCAGCATTTGCTGAACACTTTTTAGGTATCAGGCACAATCCTGGCTTGTAAAATCAGCATTCTCCTTCAACACTCACTCTAAATGCCGCCTTCTGCAGGAGGTGAGAGGGAGTCTCTGAGGAGAAGCAGCTCAGCTGAGAACAAAGTTCGTTGAGGTGTTTTCATTTGGTCTTGAACTAAAGGCTTACACCTTCCTCCCCTGGCACTGTCTGATCTTTAGGGCAGAGTATGGCACTCATAGAAGACAGGACATCATTGGTGATGGTGGGTTTCAATCCAGGCAGTTTGGTGCTAGTGGGCAGTTCCACAGTTCTGGTTTATCACTTCCGATTAGCACATAACTTATGGCAAAGAAAGTACACCATCTCCACAGTCATCAAAATATCAAAGAATGAATGCTTTAAAGTATCTAATTGTTACAAAGACATAATAAAAATTGTCCAGTCTCCTGGGTAATTTTGATTTATCTAACATTTTTCTGCTGCATAGCTGTGCAGTTAAATAAGCTATGTAAATCCATAACACTTTGTGTTGTCAGAAAAGGGCTATAAAAAAACACGATTTAAAAAAAATGTTGAAACATACTGTTTATTCCTTCTTGGACTTGGATTCTAACCTCTAATATTAAAAATAGAAGCAGGGTCCCACCAGATGGCAGGGGTCATTGGGGCTCACCGAGACTGAAGCAGCAATCATGGAGCCTGCATGGGTCTGCATTAGGTCCTCTGCATACATGTTATGATTTTTTTAGCTTCTCCTGTGACTCCTACCAGTGAGAATGCCATGTCTCTGATTCTTTGCCTTGTTCTTGGTACCCTTTTCCTCCTACTGGGTTGCCTGTACAGCCTTGATATGAGGGTTAGTGCCTAGTTTTATTGCATCTTGTTACACTGTTCAGTTGATATCCCTGGGAGGCATGCTCTTTTCTGAAGGGAAACAGAATGGATTGAGGGGAGTAGGAACTGGGAGGTGTTGAGGGAGGAGAAGCTGCAGTAGAGATGTATTGTATGAGAGAAGAATTTTTAAAAAAGAAAAAAAATGCCTGCTGAATGGAGTCTGCACAGTTTGACTACAAATTAAATGGACACATTTTTTTCCCTCCATGTATTTCTATTCTAGTCTGGAATACAAGACCTACTTGGATTAGAGAGCTCATCCTAAAGCAAACAATTCATAAGTGAGGAAGAGATAATGTAAAGTATTTTTATGAAGACTGAGAAGCCAAAGTGAGAGACAGACCCAACAAGTTGGAGATCATAGGGAAAAAGGAATTCTCTTCATCTTACCTTCTCAATAGGGCGGAAGTTTAAAGCCCCAGAAAAGCTCTGTGTTACATCACCTTCAGGTAGTAAGTCCAGAGAACTCTTGGGAATGGAAGAGACCTAACATGCATGCAATGTGTCAAATCCTTTAGGCCTTCTGTTCCACTTATTCACCCACTCAGCTATGGGTGGTTTGTCATATGCCATTTGGATCCCCTTGCTAATGGCAATTTAGTGAGGAACAAGTGGGACATCGTCTCTATGAACAGATGTGA